GTTGCTAAGTATCGTATTGCAAACAGCTCAAACTATATCAACAGCGCCTTCAGACTGTATCGAGCGGAGAGGTCTGGCGCCAGAGTGATAGCTAGCTCAGAATTGAACGCGACGTTAGTGTGATAGTAAGTATTAACCTGCTAGGTTAAGCCAGCCTCCGCAAAAAAGGCTCGATATCGTTGGGTTTGGTAAAGCTGCTGAAATAGCCCTATAGTAATGGCAGTTCCACCCTGGCGAATGTAAGATAGTATCGCTTCTAATACATACATGTCTGAGGAGCGTTAGGTGAGGGCAGCGTCAGTAACGAGTACAGCACTCGGTGCCGGGCTTTACTGTAGCAGATCGAGGGTGGCAGCTTGTTCCCTACCCTATTAGATATCAGTCTGACCGCCGAGGTCAGTGAATAAGGCAGCGAAGTTATTATTGAAAAAAGGTAGGTGTTATAATGAGATAGCTATAGTGCGGGGTATTATCTGGGTTATAGTAGGTATTATAATAATCTAGAAGAAGTGGTATTAAAATTAAGAAGTATAGATATCAGCTATCCTTTATAGGAATCCCCAGTATTAAAGGTAGTAAGGGGTTTATCTCTGCCTCCTCCTACCGGCCTGAGTCTATAATATTGATATAAGATTGGCTATATATATCAGTGTATCAGGATAGTCTGCTTTAAGCTTTATTATTCTTATCTTATTACCTGTATATTCCTTATTCTCTTTCTGTTTACTATAGTATAAAAGATATCATACTGGGATTATTAGCGATCTAGAAGGCTTATAAATAAGAGGAGCTCACTTGCTAGGATATACTGCTGCTTAATCTGTACTTGGGCCATTACCACGCAGTACTATAAGAACTAGCTATTAGAGCAGTAGATAATATGGTTAAAGGGGCCTGTTTTCCTACTCTAGGATTCTACTCTTAATTATATCCCTCCGGGCAGAGTCTATATATCAGATATATTCCCTTCCACTTATACTATTACCTCGATCATACCACTTCTTCCTATTATAGTATAGCTCTTTAAGCTCCTTAGGGATAAGGTAAAGCGGTAATATAAATTACTGGCTAGACTGTATAACTATCCTCTGCAATCACCAGAACGGGTACTTGTATCTTAGTACAGTATTATAACTATATAGCCCGAAATATATAGCTCTAGACTAAATCAATAGTCTGATAAAGCTTAATAATATAGCCTTTCCTAGCCCGCCTAAGATATAATTATACAGCAGGAAAATTCTATGAACCTTTATACGGATAACTCACTTGCTATCAGAGCAGCTTATTGAATAACTATTAAAGCTGCCTCTTTCACCTGGTTTTATACTTGTGCACCAATCCAAGTACTTCAACCGATATAAGCTCGAGTAAGTACCACTAGCCCCTTTACCAGAGTACTTATACTAATATATCCGCAGCCTTTGAATATATTAAAGAACCAGATCTCAGTACCTTCTCTCGAAGGTGAAAAGATTACCTAGCCTAGTATAATAAGGCCTAAAATCTGTACAACTATAAGTATATAGGTCGGGTAAAGGCAGTCCTAATCGGACAGACTGATTAAGCTGATCAGGCCGATAAACCTAAAACTAAGCAGTTTAAAAACCTCGGATAAAGGGAACAGCTAATACAGCTGAATAATCTCTCCGCTGAGCAGATCTTAGCTATATTTAATCTTAGCTAAGATACTCTTTATTATATGCAGGAAGAGCTCGATAGATATAATCGGAAAGAGCGGTATTATTATAGGCTGGATCTAATATGATTGAGTTAGAGCTCAGAATGTGGTACCTTGGCTGCTGCAGGTAATACACTATCGTACTCCGCTTAGGGTATCTAGCTATACCTGGAACTACCGTATAATTACAGTTAAGGCAGATTTAATATCCTTAGCGATCTAAAAGAATTTATAGTATATAAAAGTTCGATAGCCTGTATGAGCTGATGATAGTATACTCTTCGCTTAGAGATAATAATAATAATAGTCTGTCTCTATGAAACTTATACTGTACTATCCTCGCTCTTATACTATCTTCCTAATATATATACCTTCCAACTCGGGTAAAGGAGTTAGGATAATAGAGAATTATTAATAGTGTAGCTGCCCCTTGATTAAGGAAACCAGTTACAAGGTGGAGGTTGAAACAGACTGTTAGCTAAATCTGGATAAACTAATAATACCTTATTCCTTACAGCTGGTTTAATCCCTGTCCAAGCTCTCCTATCTTATATCGAGAGCTAATAACTCTCTTACTAGTAGATCCGCTTAAGAGGTAACCTATTAACTCTGGTGGGATATAGATAAGACGGTAAATATACTGTACTACTCGACCACTCAATATATAATATCAGCTAGTATCAGCCGCCTAAAGATCATTATACCATCTTCAGTAATCACTTTCAAGATATTAGCCTAGCTGTATAGTAAGATGATATCGGACACTCAGTAGAGTTATCGCCTTGTAATTACAGAACTAGGATAAATAAGACCTCTATTATAGTGCTAAAAATAGCAAATAAACAATAACTGCGGAAGATAGAGACAGTTTACGGGTTGGATAGCTGATAAATATGAACATGTTATTGGGGTTATGGTGGGGCCAAGGGTGAAGGTCACGTGATAGCGAGGCTAGAAAATGGGAGGAAAAAAGATTTCCCGACGAGGCATTGGCCCAAATTGGCAGGCTGGACCGGCCGTTTCCAGCTGTACTATCTTTAAGAGGGAAGGTTGTAAACCGAGCTACAGGGCAGTACTATTAATAACAGAATACAGCTAGACTCAATTAATAATAAAACAAACCAAAGAGTATTTTTTAGTTCCTATTTATTTAAGTTTCTTATGTTTTCTTCTAATTATAATCTAGAATTCAATATCTCTTGATAAATATAAATATCTAATTATGTTTACCCCTCTTCTGTCTTATACTATCTTTATAATTCTGATACCTTTTATTATTCTTAAAGACCTTAATATTTCCTTTAATCCCTAGAAACTCTCGCTAAAAATTATTAATTAACTTCTCATCTAATTTTAATTTATATAACCATATTAGAGGCCAGGAAACCCTATACTGTAACTCTCTATCAATATATTCTCGACCTATAAACCCTTCCTTATTAATAGGATAGATTGATTCCTTCTCAGGGTCTCTAGGCTTAACAGCCCTAGTTGTTCCTGGCCGCTTAGATGGACCATAGTCAGTATTGAATTTCTATATAAGCTCTTCACAGTTTAGCAGCTTATAATCTGGTTTAAATATTATCTTAAAAGGAGTTAAAAACTCCTACTCCTCTCTAAGACGCCTGGTATCCAATAGGCCTTACTTCTTATCAATAGCCCACTCAATATCTTTAGAGACAATAACAGTAGGATTATTAAACTCTTCTAGCTCCTTTGAATTAGGATTTGCTGATATTTCAGAATCTTTCTCTACCTCAATATCCTTAGAATAGTCAGGCTTATCGGAATTAGTGCTAATATTATCTTCGTTATTGAAATCCTCTAGCCTATCCGAATTAGTACCTGTATTATTATAGTTATTAAAATCTTCTGGCTCATCTGAATTGATATTTGTTGGTATCTCAGTTGCTGCAGGGAGGAGATTATAATGAGTTGAACTGATAGTAGCTTGGCCTGTAATTCCAGGGTGTTTTGATAGATTATTATCCCTGAAAATTTCTGCTCTCGGTATAATCTTTAGATCCTTATCGAGAAGTTGGTCTAACTGTTGATCGAGAGTAGGTTGAATCACTTTGCCTTGTATAACTGTATTCTGTGAGGTAAAGCGGCCATTAATGAACACATTTCGAGGGAGCTTGGTCGAGCTTTAGGTACAGGAAATACCTTAGTGTATACAGCTGGCTCTGGACTGTTCTTCTAGTTGGAATTCTCTCCCGGACTAGGCTTGTTTAAGCTTGCTCTGTTACCTAGTCGGCAGGTTATAAGGCTATTAGAACTGTTAACGTTCTGTCTTCTGGTTGTAGGCTGAGGTACTCAAATTAGTTCATTTTTTGAACCAAACTTCCCGGATATAGGGCTATAACTTTTAAATATTAAAGCCATAGCCGAGAGACTTTGGGTAACCTTGAAGAGGAGATAAACAATAAGAATAAATAAAAGATGCTTTCTTGGGCTGTAAGAAACAGAGAGCGTGAGCCTGGGAAAGTGCCTTTTATATTCCTACAGTATAGAGCGCTCAGTCAGCTAGAGTCCTTCCTATTGTGAAATTACTCGTTTAGTAAACCAATAGGGTTCAATCGAGCTTTTGCAGAGAAAGAGAGCGTGCCCTTGGCCCTTCCTGTTAAGTTATTGCCCTTTTCGGGAACTATATGAGTTACCGAATAGAGTACTCAGCCTAAGGGAACTAAGGTAGTGCCCTAGCCTGAATACTAGTCTCCAGGTAATACTAAGAATTCCTCAATCTCTTCCATTGTATCCTCTAACGTTACAGCCCCTGAATTACTCGTACACTAATCTCCCTGATGAGAATATCCAGCCCGCATCCCCTGGCGCCGTAATCTCCTGGGGGGCTGTGGCTCAAGGCTCACTAACCAATGTAACTCTGTTTCTGATATAGCTTGTTATCTACCTTTAAGGCGGCTGAGCAAGTTCCATCATGATCTGCCTCTGGTGGTGGTAGTGACTGTGCCTTGGTAACCTAATTCTCTATGTGTCTTGAAAGATAACGTCTCGTCGAGCCCTTCTCAAGGGGCAACTTAGGTTTTTAAGAGCCTCTAAACGCAAATCCTCTGGAGAGTCGTTAAATGCAATTGCTAACCCGAATTCGCTAATCCCGGAGCTGAGTTTCAGCAAAGCATAGTATTCTTTTCGTGATGTGCAGTCCTTGAGTATATGGTAGAAGCCCATTCTATCATCTTGGTTAATGCATTCCTCAGAATCTTCTTCTAATTCTTCGAATTCTCCAGTAATCGAATGAAGGAACTCCGCAGCACGCTTCATAGTAACAGAGAACTCATCATCATTATCATCAACTCTCTCAAGTTTGCGCTTTAAGACCATTTCTTATTAGTGCAGCACGCGCCATGGCTCGTGAGCTCGGTGTAAAGAACGAGGGGCTTTCTTTGAGATGAGACACCCCCGTGGTCTTGCCAATCCGTACGCACAGCACCTCGACTTGAGGCGTCCTGTCATCCAGAGACATCTCGAGGCAAAGCACGCGAGTTAGGTTCACGAGGAACTGCTTGCTTGCGCTATAGGATGCCAGAAGCGGGAACCCAATGTCGGCCATGGAGCTGATGTTCATTAAGAGAGCGGGGCCGTTTCGGTTGAGGAAGGGCAGAAGCACACGTGTCAGATGAAGGGGGAAAAGAGCATTTAGGCTGACATTGTTAATAATGTGCTCTGCCGAGGATTCGATGAGCGGCGCGTAAACGGGGTTGGTTGGACCGCCACCAGCATTATTGATTAAGACTGTCAAGTGGAGGTCCTCCACGGCCGCTCTGATAGCATCAAAATTCACAGTTCTCCCTCCATCTGATAAGTGTTTGTCGCTGATACAGGTTTTGCAAGGAACTGCCCCGGCATCTGCGACCAAGATCTTGAACGATCTGCCAGGGTGCAGCTTTTGCAAATCGGCCTCAACAGCAGACAATTTTGCTTGATTCCGCCCGTGCAGCACGACGTTGAACCCTTGCGCGGCGAGCTCTTGTGCAAACTGTCGACCTATGCCGTCCGAGGCGCCTGTGACCAGTGCCCAAGGTTCGTCACCATTCGGCGCAGGATGTGCATAGCGGTTGAGTCTTGAGGGAAGTATGTAGATACGTATGAGATAGGCAATGTGGATGATGAAGGTGAGTATCGTGAGCCAGCCGATAATATCAGTTGTGCCTGCCATTTGATCTGTTTTTCTTGTTCGAGGCTACTTGACTCGGATACATGTAGGTAAGCGTAGTTGAAGGTTGTCAGTGGGACAAGAAAATCCAGGAGGTTTCGTCATTGATCGGCTTACCCCGCCCATACCTAACGGGTCCGGTCAGCTAGCTGAACTTGCCCCTCTAAAGAGGGGGTGACGTGGACTATATTTCTGACGCTTTTATATCCAAAGTATATAACTTCAACATATTATAAGTCTTTTAAACTAGTGTTTTTATTTTAAATATCCAGACTATATAGATTAATAGCTAAATAATATATATAATTAATTTCAGAATATTTAAAGTAAATTATATAGTTTTATATTATTCTATATATTATTCTATCTATAATTTATTGACTAAAATTTATCTATTAGCTATATTAATTATATTATTATCTAAAGATAAATTCTATTAAATATACTTAACTTTGCTTGTAATTTCTTTATCTAAGCTAACAATTATTTAAGAAAATTAATTATAAGTATGTTTATCAACTTGTTATAATAAAAATAATATATTTCTTGGTTTTTTTTAGCTATTAGTTATTAATATATGATTATATTAATGAATATATTACTTCGAAGCTCTCTAATTAATGAGGCTATGGTTATTGTAATAGATAAATAGCTTTATCTATAGCCTAAATATTTCTTTAAGTTTACTAGCTTATAATATATTTAAAATAGTCTAGAAAAGACTAAAGTAACTAGAGGGAATATTTATATTAATCTTAAATTCTTTTTTTATATTCTTCTAAATTAACTATAGACTACTAAAGTACAAACTCTCTTCTACTTAAAGCCAGGTTAGATACTTATAATAGCTAGCTTTAAGCTTTGCCTTTACTACAAAGTCTCTCATTATAACGCTGCCGCCTTCCATCCCTCGTCATAATCTTGCACAGTATGGGCATGAATCCACCGCGGCGAATTTTGTGGCGAGCCATAAAATCACTGTATCCATTAATGGCGGCATCTAAAGAAGCAATATGTTTCAACGCAGAATGCGAGTCGGGTGCCCACAACTTTTCTAGCCTGTGTCTAAAGTGCATGGCAGAATTGCATCCGTGTCGACTTGGTGACATCACGCAGTGGAACCTTGAAGTCGCTTTCAAAGATGCAAGGTAGATTACGCCAAGGGAAGAAGCTCAGGCTTTTTGCAAAGGGGTTGGCAAGTGAGTGCCAAGAGGAGATAATGAACAGTATCATGTAAGTTGAACGTCTAGCAGCGGCATGCATAATAGATGGGCTACTCAACTGAACTTACTGTGGGAGTATGTCTGCCATTACCACCTCTGGCCCATACACGGTCTTTGTTTCATGATTGGAACTCTACCCGGATTAATGGCCCAATATCTGACCTTGGTATTGAGACTGTCTGGTTGATATGAGAGGCGCTAAATAGGCGGTTTGTGTTATAAGGAGCCAACGCCACATCATAATAGTTACATTATGTCAAATTTTGCAGCACAAATCAGATTAAGTAGAATCCTGGTCAACAATCTATGGCAGTCTTATTCTAAAGACGCATGCTTCTAGTACTTGTTATATTTGTAAAAGGACTCAACACTCAGCGTAATATCTGCAATTATCGGAGCATCGAGTGATCCATCGTCCATCAGGGCAAATGTGTACTATCCCATCTCCAAAACGCGCTCATACAAGCGATTGATAAGTGGAAGATAGCGGTCAATATCCAGTTCCAGCGTCGCAGTAACAGTCTCCCCTGCATTGATATAGAGGCGAGTAAATGCGACAAGCTGCTTATCGGGCGTTGTAACGGATGATCCCTGGCGCCGTAGGAGGTAGATCTACTTCTCTATAAGAAACTCGCAGCCACAGGGGCGGGAAAATGGTATTAATTTTTTTTTGGGAATTCTATGACTTACCTGCGGAATATGGCTTCCTGTGACGGTACCAGTATTGTAGACAGATACAGAAAAGGCAAGAGTATCACCTTATGAGAAAGTGTCCTTTTTTCTGCCCTCGAAAGTAGACTTGGCACTTTGCAAGTTCTGGGAGAACGTCGTGTATAACAAGCCATATCCAAATGAATACTAGCAATCAGGGTCAGCAATGAAGTGACAATCCGCGGAAGAGACCTCCAGCCTTAATTGAATGGGATTTAGAAGGGAGAAGCGCAGTGGTAGCTGTAGCTATACCAGTACAGGTTTAGGAATATCCAGGTAGTAAGGTATATAACTCGCAGGTTTGGTAGTTCGCTGACTGTAAGCGTGTATTAATTAGTACTAGGGACTCTTATCCTAGAGATAGTGATTATCTTACTTATAGTACGCAGGAAGAGAGCTAACATTATGAGGAACACTCATTGTCACTCGGCCACCGGGGTTGAATTCGCTAACAAGTATATCTGCGATAGCTTGGCCAGCCGCTTAACCTAAGAAACCCTATATTGTATAAAAAAGCTCGAGTCAGGAATATAATTGAATGAATGACAAGGGACCAGCGTTTTGACCTATAGTGTTAAGAACCGCAGCAGATTATACATAAAACTCGGGGATAGCGAAAGGTCGGCCGCCCTCTAATACGAGGACAACAGGTTTTTCCAGTGCAAAGATAGCTTATACAAGTTGTACTAGAAGATACAATCAGGACCAGTCTATAAATGGGATAATGAGGTATTGCTTACTCTGGTCAGTCGACAGGCTGAGGGTGGCGCGATCGCCGTTCTCGCCATCGCTGTTCCAAGCAGCTCCAACCGCAAGAACAATCAAGTCAGTATCAGAGGCTACCCTCGTTGCCTAGGAACACGGAAATATAAGCAAATAATCCAGCCTATATTCACGATAGGAACTATATAACTCACCTGACTAATACTGTCCTTTCGATCGATAAGATTCCAGAAGAGCTGGACCCTCGAATGAACACCAGCGGCGCTTGATCTAGGCCAATTGGGGTAGACTTAGCACTCGATTCGAATATGATACTTAGAGCCAGGTTTAAAGAGAAATCCAGACCCTCCAGGAGGGGGCTTAGTACTGTTCTCGGCGGTGTACCTGATACCTTACTAATAATCCAATTGCCAGAGATCAACGGAAGCTGGAAAGCTGTAATACTCAGCATAGTATACTGCAAAATCATAATATAGAGAAAGTTACCTAACTCTTCAACGCTGAGCTGAGAGATAAGGAGGTCCAGGTAGGACTTCTTATCGTCGATTGAAACACAGCTTGGCAATGGTCTGGTCACAGCGCTCAACGAGCCTACTGATACAGACGATATAGTAACGGGCAACTGCACTGCTATTGTGAATTTTGATAGAGGAGAAAAGTTACAAACATTCAAGAGCCTTGAAGTATTACTATATGCGAGCAACTCGTGAATAGAATGGTTTACTTATATTTGGCATATTGATCTATCGCGGCGTGGGAGGTTGGAACAGTACGATGCACCCGACCAATTAGAGCCGCTTTGCTCATTACACTTGCTCTTACAACGCTATGGAGCAACGCGGTGAAATCGGAGTAATTACGTGTATGAATCGGGCATTTTTATTGACCCCACATGCTTCATGTTGTCAACGAGGGTGTACACCAACTGACCTGAGCCCCGTTGCACCCCGCACATGCACCCTCATGCAGCGCCCGCACCTTTGGGTAAATTTCAATAGCTTAGCTAATTTTCTTGAAGAAGAATACTTTTGCTGGAGGCAATTGGAGGTTTAGAAAAGCTTAAGGTTTGAGGTCCTACTAATTACGTACACCTATTATTTCCAGTTTGGTAGGATTTTAATCCACCGCAATGTTGACGAAACTACTGCGTTCCTAATTTGGAAAGGTCCATAACATGATCGGTCAAAGGGCACGGTAATCTGTAAGTACCGCAGGCCTTCTATTGCAAGCTCAGCCCGGCTCAGAGCAACTTGCCATCCAAGGCTAGATTGCCGTGTATCTCCCCAAAGGTCCAAAGGCAACAACTTGTACCTTACCAGGGTTTTATTGGCTAATAATCTCTGCAATTGAGGGTACTTAATTTTCTTACTAGCTAAGCCTATAATAGAAGTACCAACAATACTTTGTATTTCAAAGAGCCACATCACAAGTAAGGCAGCCGTATTGTGATTGCGGCGGCCGGACATTGTGGCTATGCTCCTATAAGGGCTAAATTTTCCTCTCATCGTCAAAGCGGATACCTTTGCAGGCTAGGCAGGGAGCCTGAGCATTTGGACGATCAGAAATATGCTGTGATACAGGCACAGAAGTGTTCCCTACGTGCAGCTCGAAGTCACGGCCTTAGATTTTTAATAAAAGTGGAGAAATACGCGATTGGTGCCTTCGGACCTTTGGGGAGATTGTGACACCTGGGTCCGGCTGAGAGCAAGTGGCGGTACGTAGGTAGGGGACACAGAGTCAAAGAAGTCGAAGGTGTGGTACTATTCCCAGTTTAGGCTTAACGCTATAAAATCACTAAATTCTCAGTAGAATTGTTAGCATTGGGCGCAGGGATTAATTAGCTGTATTTAAATTTCGCCGTTCCTGCCGCGTGCCAGGTCACAAATCAGGTTGTGCCGTCTTTAAAATAACCCACGGCGAAGTTGACGAATGACGAAGCGAAACGCAAGCGACTAACTTTGGGGGGGTTTTTTTTTTTCCGCGGGCCAATTCAAGCATGCATTGACCCGCTTTTTGAATAGACTGGTGGAGAAATGGTTGGGCTCCACGCGCAGGCAGGGCCCTCACCTGTCAAGGAGTATGAGAATAACAAGAGCTAGTAAGAGAGAGGAATTTTAATATAATAAAAATGCTTATATTGTATATATTTATTTAGCTATCAATCTTCTCATATTAAGTATCAACTAAAAATATTAAGATTATATAATTACAGTTTTCTATAGCTAAGATTAAAATATAATTAAAATTCTATACTTAGATTGTTAAAATAATAATAATAACTATAAGAATTTTAATACTTTTATTTAAAAAATATATCTTTAAAGTTTAAAATTAAATTATATAAGATAATATAGAGATATATTAAAAAGCTCTAAATTATAATATTGTAATAAAAAAACTAGCTAAAGATAAAAAGGTTAAAGAAATATAATATATAATTATATATATATATAGTTACCTTTCTATAATCCAATAGAAAATTAGTTATATAGATAACCTTATATCTATTTTATCTAATATAATCTTAAGTCTTGGAATGCCTGTGAGGAGATATCAACTTGGATAAGCCCCATTCTATATTCGCTTCAGCACAGAGTGACGTTGACGAATGAGGACCATTCGTGTTCCTGTAATGTACAGCGTAGTATAAAGGACGAGTTACCCGTTCCTTCTCTCCTCTTGTACTCAGAGAGTTACAGCATACCTTGGGGTGCCATGTTCATCGTCGCCATACACCCCTTCTACCACCATGTCCCTCCCTGAATCACAGCCAGATTGGAATAACCTCAAGGTACTCCAACGTAATCGGCGGCCTACTCGAGCGCACTTCTACAATTATGAGGATGAAATAACCGCACTTACTTTGGATCGTAACAAGAGTGCCCTCTACCGAAGCCTCAACGGATCGTGGAAGTTCCGCCATGACTTGTCGCCCTTGGAGGCTCCAGATTGGGCGGCCACTGACCCAAACCTGTGGGACGACATCACGGTTCCAGGCATGTGGCAATTGCAAGGCTATGGTAGTCCCCACTACACAAACGTCAATTATCCATTCCCAGTTGATCCACCAAACGTACCATTGGAGAACGAGACAGGCTCGTATTGGAGGAAGTTCACCATGCCTCAGAGCTGGGACGTTGGCACTCACACTGTAAAATTGCGCTTCGAGGGCGTTGACAGTTCCTATCATGTCTGGGTGAATGGCAATGAGGTTGGATACAGTCAAGGGAGTCGCAACGCCGCTGAGTTTGACATCACCAGTCTGTTGAACAATGGAAAAGACTGCGTCAATACGGTGGCGGTCCGCGTGTACAAGTTCTGTGACGGGACTTATATCGAAGACCAGGACCAGTGGTGGCTATCAGGCATCTTCCGGGATGTCTACCTCATCGCTTTCCCACAGCATGGAATCTCCGACTTCACCCTCACCACTAACCTGGACGACACGTTTACCCAAGCTGAGATTACGGCAAGTGTCGAGACTCACGGAGACGTAAGGGATTTCAAGCTCAAGCTGCTGTCCCCCGACGGGGGGCTTGTTGGTCAAGGGGCAGACAGCACCAGCGTTACCATACGAGTTACTGGCACTGAGCTCAAGCTATGGTCTGCCGAGCAGCCTGTGCTGTACACTGTCCTTCTCGTGTGCGGGAACCAAGTCATCCCACAACGCATCGGCATCCGGCGAGTGGAAGTGCGCAACGCCAACATTCTGCTCAACGGTCAACCCATCATATTCTACGGCGTCAACCGCCATGAGCACCACCCAACCCTCGGTCGCTCGGTGCCTTACGAGTTTATGCGGCGCGACTTAATCACCATGAAGCAGCACAACGTCAATGCCGTCCGTACGTCGCACTACCCCAACGACCCGCGGATGTACGAGGTGGCCGACGAGCTCGGCCTGTATGTCATCAATGAAGCCGACCTTGAATGTCATGGCTTTTACAAACCTGAGCGTGCTAAGTTGGCCGCTCAAGGCTTGCAACTCAGCAGGGTCGAGTTCCGGGAGCGGGTTTACGTCGAATCCAGACCGTGGATATCGGATAATCCTGCCTGGAGGGAAGCATACCTGGACCGCGCGGTGCAGCTTGTGGAGCGCTTCAAGAACTCGACCTGTTCCATCATCTGGTCTCTGGGCAACGAGGCCTTTTATGGTCAGAACCTCGCTGCTATGTATCATTGGGTCAAGAAGCGTGATCCAATGCGGCTGGTTCACTATGAAGCTGATCGGGAGGCTGTCACTGCAGATTTTTACAGCTCCATGTACAACACCTTGGATGAGTTGAGGGACCACGCCGCGAGCAAGACGGATCGCCCGTTGATTCTATGCGAGTACGCTCATGCCATGGGGAACGGGCCGGGTGGCTTAAAGGACTATATCGACACTTTCCGGAGCGAGAAGATGCTGCAGGGCGGCTTTGTCTGGCAGTGGGCAAACCACGGCTTACTGACCAAGAGCGAAGACGGGACCCCGTTTTTCGGGTACGGAGGGGACTTTGGTGATGAGCTCAACGATGCCGACTTTATCCTAGACGGGTTGCTGTGGTCCGATCATACGCCGAATCCAGGACTATTCGAATACAAGAAGGTCACAGAGCCTGTGACGGTGGAGGGTATCAATGTCAAGATGGGAGAGATTGCTCTTCGCAGCCACTATTTCTTCTCTGACCTGTCTCATCTCACGTGTTCGTGGAGCGTTACGGTTCAAGACGAGGAGGCTACGGAGCCTAGGAGCATGGATCTTCCACATATTGGCCCAGGACTGACGGCTACTGTCCGGCTTCCTGCTGAGTGTGTCACATTTCTTGAAGCCAAGTCGTCGAGCGAGAGTTGGGTGAATCTCTCCTTTCGGCTGAAGAGCGATACCAACTGGGCTCCAGCAGGACATGAAGTCGCCTGGTCCCAAGTCCATGTTCCATCGCCGTCGCCAGGAGAGCCTTCAAACAGTGCATCCGCCATAGTGAAAAACGTCAAGGTTCCCATAATCAACACTACACCGGGCCGGTTAATCGTGTCTTCTGCCAACAGTAATGCCCAGATGGTCTTCAACCTCGTCCGTGGCGGTTTTCAATGGACATCCGAGTCTGGTGTTGCAGTGACCAAAGGTCCAGATCTGAGCATTTACCGTGCCATGACGTCGAACGACCTCGGCTTCGGTGGCGATGGCGCCGAGTGGCAACGCTGCATGGTTGACTGGGCGCGTTCAGCCGTCATCAAAACGACCTGGGAGCAGGACAAGGGTGATGGTACCAACGGCGATGTCAAAGTCGCCATCAAGGTGCGCATCGGGCCTCCGTCCCTCTCATGGGCCGTCAGAGCAACACTCGAGTACGTCGTCTCGGGCTCGCTCACAACCGTCTCGATCCGGGCCAGGGGCGATCTAGAACGCCGAGAATCCGCCTCCCCGGCTCCGCATGTTCTCCCACGCATCGGGCTGGATCTAACTCTGCCTAGGTCCTACAACCGTGTGCACTGGTTTGGTAGAGGTCCGGGCGAAGGCTACCGCGACAAAAAGGAGGCGTCGCGCGTGGGGTTGTACCAAGCGAGTGTGGATGAGTTGCATGTGCCATATGAAGTGCCACAGGAGAACGGCAGTAGGGGCGATGTTCATTGGGTTCGGCTACAGGCTGATGAAGGCATAAGTGACACGCCTATCCTCGAGGTGCGGATGGTCCATGGACAGTTCAACTTCACTGCGCGAAAGCATACTCCGCAGGAGCTTGATCGAGCAAGACATCCGCATGAGCTGAAGGAGTGCGATGAGCTGCTGTTAAGTCTGGACTATGCGCACCATGGTCTGGGGTCCGGGTCTTGTGGGCCTCCGCCGTTTGAAGCGTATCGGTTATATGCTGAGCCGTTTGATTTTACGACTGTATTGAGGTTGGTTGAGGATGGCGAAGCCATGGACACTTGAGACGGTCCGTCGGAGAGCGAATAATTGGTACGGGATCCCGAGTCTTGATAGTAGATACAATCAAGGCCGTCAGCCGCTGATGGCGAATTTGGTAGCAGTTCTTGATCAAAACGCATCTCTGCTACGTATTAGTATTACAATTGGGTAAAGCAAGGAGCCAAGCCAAAGTTCATGAAGCCGATGAAAGTAAACCACCCAACACCCCATCAGAGATCAGCTTGTGACTCGAGTGATATCACGGTACCCAGTCTTCGTTATTTGCCTGCTCACTAAGGTTACAGTTCTAGAGTTATCCTGTAGAGAAACTAATTCACCGCGCTCCAACTAAAAACGAGTACGCTGGTCTTGCAGTACTACAAGGTCGCAGAAGTTGAAAGGTCGCGCTTGTGCACCCGCTGTTGCGCCAACGAGGACTTGCCGCAGAGGTCATTTATGCCATGATTTCAAGGCAATTTGGTCAAGAGGATAGTTTTAACATTTCTGAGGCTTTCTAAATTATAAAAAATCAGAGAAGCGCCCTGCTTCAGGACATGAACTACGTAATGGTGTGTGTACGGTTACCCAATCACTTCGTTGGCCAGGTTTTACAATGGGACAATCCACAACTTTCTTCAACTAAAAGTCTACCGCAAACCCCTCGCGTCTGTCAGTCTCTTGGTGCGTGTTGCTCCTTTGGCAGTGAAGGATAAAGGTTCCGACCCTAGATGATAAGACCAAAACAAACTTTCTCTTAAGGCCACTGATGACCAAGGCCTCATGTAATCTCTGACGCTCCTGCTGGGACCAAGTACTGCCATTTGATAACAGTCTTCGTGGAAATGTCAGCTACTGCTGGTTCCTGACTAGGCGCTCAGTGGCAGTCTCAGTCTTGACGAATCTCCAAGGCTTGATCTTTCTTTCGAACAATTCGTCAAGCTCGGCGGTAGAGCGTCTAGTATTCCGTTAGAAATTCGCCGCCAATAGTTTGTCTGGGTGAAACTTACCCCTTGGTCTCAGGAATCAGAAGCCACATGGCAACCATGGCAGGAAGACCAAGGCCGGCGTAAAACCAACCAGTCTTCAAACTCCAGTTCCACTGATGCGAGTTCACCATGTAGGGCACCAAAACGTCCATAATGACACCGACAACGCACGTGATACCGACGGCGAAAGCCGCAGTGTAGGGTCGTAGGCGCTGCGAGGATATTTCACCGTTGAAGGCGGAGGCTGCAGTGCCGCAAGTCATCATACCGATGTCTAGGAAGCAAGGTCAGCTCATGGCTCTACATGGCTCGAGAATGTGGCGGGACTTACTCCAAAAACAGGCGAACAAGACGAAAACATATGTTTTGGCTTTGTTATCTGGCGTCACGCCGAGTATTCCAACAACACAGCAGGAAACCCATGACAGAGTGGCCGCCCAGCAAGCCAGGGGCCTTCGACCAAAGTTCTCGACAAGCACAATATTGCTAAGGACGGTAGCAATCTGGATGGATGATGTAATACACTTGACAGTAAAAGGCTGAGCGACCCCAGCCTGCTGGAAGAAATAGGTACCAAATGTTCCAAACAACTTAAGACCAATGAACTGTTGAGTAAGGCCCGGCAAGAAGGCGATGACAGTTCGCAGACCATCAGTTCCTCGGAAGATTGACCACCACTGCTCCCGATCTTGGGTAATTGCAACGGCTCGCTCATGCTCAAGCATCATGATAACAAGGTTGTACTGATGATCCACATCGTAGCCTTCTATATTTCGATGAAGCATGGTGAAGATGCGTTTAGATTTCTCCTCTAACCCGCGAGTGGCATACCACACGGGCGATTCAGGAAGGATAAAAAAAATGATGAGCATGATGGCGACATGAGCCCACTGGGTATAGATAGGTACGAGCCACTTGTAAGGATACTCCTCGTTGACAGTCCTAAGAGCGATCTGGGCCGAGAAGCCTCCAAGAGCCCACCAGAGCTGGTAGGACATGAGGAGGCCACCTCGAATGCGAGTAGGCGCAAGCTCCGAGATGTACAGCGGGAGAGTGGCCTGCAAGGATCCGACGGCGTATCCAGCGAGCAGCTTGGCAACCAACCAGACCGACCAGTCCCGAGCGAGCGATTCAGCCAGGACACTGGTGCAGATGAAGAGCCAAAGCCACAACATTGCCGCCTTTCGTCCAAATCGGTGCGAGATGAACGGGATCGTTATCGTGCCAATGATCTGCCCGACGGACATGATAGAGCCCCAGCCGCTGAGGATAGGTGATTCGAGATATTTGTCGCCAGCGTCCGAGGTCTTGGTGGCAAACTGCTGGATGAAGCCTTTGTTCGCGACGATACTCGCGTTGATGCTGCAGTAACCCACCATCAGTCCCAAGGGCTCAACTCAGTGGTGCTTATACAACATACCCAATCTGATAACCATCGGCAGCTGCGCTAAAGGCTGCCAGCGTGCAAAAAAGGATGGGGTGTCGGAATGTGATAACGCTCTCCCAGATGGTGAGGTGTTCATAGCCAGAAGTCGCTTGACCCTTGGCCGCCGCGTCTTGGGCTATCTCGCTGGGCTTGGGTGCGCTCTCATGATTCTCGAGCTCCGTCACCCCTGTGGTTGGCTTCTCGGGGGCCCGGTTAGCAGTCATCTTTAAGGATGGATATTATGGTGTCGGTAGTTGGAAGTGAGAGATGTTGTATCGGCGGGTTGGGTCTGAGGGTTTTTATAAAGGGGATTTCGGTTCCTGATGACCCGAGCAATGAAGGCACGGTTGAATGGTTTTGAGGGAGTCAATCGCAAAGCGACACGAACAACTGAAGGCAAGGTCAAGGTCGCCAGGGAACCTCCTACCGGTGCAATGGTGTGGACAATCACATGGCGCCCCATGGGGTTCCCCCTGTTCGTTTAGTCTGTATGTGTACTCCGCAAGTTGTCCCTCTCATCGCTAGTCCTTGGTTGCTTTGCAGATTAAGGCAAGCCTCCAATTCGAGAGTTGTTTGCCATAGGCTCCACTGCTGTGGCCTGACCTGAACAAAATTTGATAGCCTCCCCATGGGGCTGGTTCTGCCCTCGGCTAACTTGTAAGCGGCCAAACAATAATCCTGGCATTTCCCCTGTATTTTCGCCGCGGAGAAATTCATTTGAGTTTCAACACTCATGATCAGCGCACATCGCGGCGAAATCTCCCTTGTTAAAAAGCCACGACTTGTCGCGGAGAAATTCTGCATTCGCCGTCAACAGTCAGTTTTACCCGCTCAGACATGTCTGCCTCGCCGGAAGCCAAGCGTGCATGCGACCGCTGCAGAAAGCGAAAGATCAAGGTAAAGGTATGGTTGATTGCCTCGTGCCTTGCCTTAGCTGGTCAACTTCGCAGCCTGGATGAGCCACTAACTCGGGACAGTGTTCTACGGGGGGGCCCTCCTTAAACCAGGTCTCGAGTCATGGATAGTCGCCTGACTTGTGTTTTCTCCAGTGCGACTCCGCGGATCCATGTTCATATTGTCGATTCTCATCTCGAACGTGCTCTTATGACTTGCCGATTGGGAAAAGAGGCCCCAAGGGCCCAAGAACTCGACGGCAGCCAAGGAGACACGACACTCTCCCAACTCTCCCAGAGACCAACACACTTGGAGAGCTGTCCGACATCATTAGATACCGTGACAATGGGCTTTCAGTGCTCGAGAGACTCCGAAGGGAGCTCAATAAAGCCATTCAGAACGAGGTGCCACTGATTCCCGTTAGTACTATGGCCCAGCATTGCATTTCCATCTATTTCCGCCGGTCGTTTCCGGTCCTGCATGAACCGAGCGTGCGTGCAGATGCAACATACTTCTTCGGCGAAGATGGTGAAAACTTTCCCACCACTCTCGACGAACACGCGAGTAAAGATGGCTTGACTCTCATGAGGTCATTTACAGTACTGACGGCCTTATGTTCGGCCCAGTCCTTCCTCCACGCCAGGTCTACCATTCCGCACGGCGCCGTTGTAGCGCCCAAGTTCTTGACTGCAGCGCGCCGCATGTTCCGCGAGTACGAAGACGAAGATCGCCGGGTCCCCGATGCCACCTCGCTGCAGATTCGCATGCTGCTGTCTACCAGCCTCCAACAGCACACCGGCGAAACTGGGCTGGCGTGGCACCTCGTGGGGGAGGCGGGCCTCATCGCCCGCCGTATGCGCCTGTATAGTGAGAGTGCCATGAGCCAGTATTCACCATTGGAGGCAACTATGCTCCGAAATGCTTTCTGGGTGCTCTATATGGCGGATAACTCGACAAAATGTTTGCAGAATCGAGCAGTCATCCTACACGAGCCTCTGTTTGACGCCGAGATGGATCTAGCAGTGTCTGGGGTGAATCAAGTATCGCTCCTGGCAAGTGAAGATACTGATACCACAGCCCGGTTTGGAGTTAGTTTATCGCAAAGCTTCCATCATGTGCGACGTACTTGGGCTGCCGCCGCACGCCTGATGATGGCAATTCGGGCGTATGGGCGACTTCGTTCAGACAATATTCACCGAGAGCTAGCCATGGACTCGGCGCAGCTTGCAAGGATCACGCAGATGTATTCAGAGTTCACTGCTTCTCTAGACGATATCCCCGCCATGCTTCAGCCGTCGGTGATAGTCGGACAGGGAGACGATACCCTCGCGGAAGAGGAGCGGTCATGCTACATCTCACAGAGGTATCGGTTATTGTCTGCGTACTACTACGCGAAGCTCATGATTATCCACGAGTGTAGACACCTTGGCTTGGCATCGATAATTGGGTTTCGAGATGATAATTCGACTCTTGCCAGCGAAGAGATCAACGTGGCCCGCGACTTTATACACAATCTTCAGAGTGTGCAGTTTCATTACTTGGTAGAACTGGGAGAGCCTGGGGTAAGTAACTCTGCCTCCTTGGCTACTGATCCAAAGGTTTTATGTCTTATTGACAATGGCCAACAGGTTGAGGTTATGCGTGCAGTAGGGAGCATCCTGCTTGAAATATCACAAAAGTCAGACAACGCCATTAGTAGACAACGGGCACTCTCACATCTCAATATTCTTCTCGACATTGTCGCCAGGTTGGACTCACAGGCATCGGACAAGCTAACATCACAGTTGTCTCATGCCCAGACCATGGGGTTCACTGGCATGGAACAGTCAGAAGAGACGCCGTGGTAACCTACATTATGTTTCTAAATTGGCTGCTAGTGCCCAGTGAAATATTTTTTTAAAAAATTTCGGCCATGAATTAGGCCCGGAAGTAACAAGGAGGTTGACGACAATAGCATAATCAACTATGACTTCTTCCAAGTCTATCTGTCTCTACTGCCCATGTCTCGAGTAAACTGCTTGATTACTTTCTAAAGCTAATTATGCCTACTGTTAATGCCTTGGAATAGGGCTGCACAACTTCCCTGCTATACTTGGTCTCAGAATTCCAGAAATCCGCAGTGACTAGCAGCAAGGCACACGCCATATGTTCGACGGGGCTCTCTTTAAGGGATCGGCTCTCCTCATGGCAATCCTCATGAATGCGTAAGGCTCTGACTCTGAAACTAACAGCCTGTACGTATAGTAACAAGTTTCACAGTCGAGAGTTTATCTGCTTATCGAATTATATTATTACTATCAGCACCTGTCCCCTGCGAAAGCGGCACAATAAGAGAGGATGGATATTCTGGCCCTGAATGAATGACGTGCATTCCACGATTCAAGTTGGTCGGAACTCGATCCAGCGCCGGAAATTCCGGCAACGTAACTTCGTGACCCTTGACTTCCAACCTCATGCTCTCACCGGGCTGGAAGATGATTCCAGATGGCCAAAGGGGAATTTCCAACCTCATAACTTCCCTATCTTAGGTATAGAAGGCTTCTTTTTTACCTGTTGTCCATCAGAAGCTGAATACAATATTGATGATATTGTTGATGCTATTGAATTAAATGGCCAGATAGTATTTCTTATGAAGTGGTCATCAAGTATTATCCCAGTACATTCTTTTATTAAGCCCCTTATTCGCAGGATGAAAGATCAGATAATCGAAATCTATAGTAACACTGAATATCATACTTATCTTGATCAGCATTTGGATAATTCACATCTGGCTATTACCCAACTTTACGGCCACCATTCTTTTTATAAGATTGTTCAAATCTTTAAGAGGGATGGTATTCTTTAAGCTGAAATTATATAGAGTAATAGCTACATAATAATTAGGGACCTTTATGAATCACTTTTAGCCAAGGCGGAAGATCTGGTAGTTGAAAAATTTGGTAATACTGTATAGACTTTATTATAGTATATATATTTACTAGGTAACGAAGAACATACATAATATAGTAATAGTAGGCGGCGATATTATAGAGGAAATGAAAGCATAATATTTCTATATACTCCGTAAATCTAAAAGAGCTGCGGAGAAAACTGGGATCACCATTATCCACTCCTTGTTTAGGATACCCTCCTTTAGTCCTAAAACTGGGATCACTATCATCCAGCTCCCAGTTTTAGGATACGCTTATTTTATCCTAAAACTAGGATCACCGTCATCAGTCCCAAGTTTGGGATACCCTTATAGGATCGTAAAACTGGCACCCTTATACGAGACCTGCTAGACAAATTCATACATACAGTCAGAACGAATTTCATCTTCTTTGTTGGAAATATACACTCAGAGATGGATACCAACCAGCAACCCGTCGCTATTATTATAATTCTGCATTGCCTGCGCTGCACGCGTTTTGTTGAGGCTACCTCCACAGACAATATTAAGTCTTTAAGCATATTGAAAATCGGTTATAATCTTTATTACTATAAGCAATACACCAAAATAATCAGCTTTAAAGAGAGTATATACCTATTCCATATATAGCACCCCCGTAAGATGAACTACTAAAAATCGCTGAGAGATATATGAAGCCTAGCGATAAACAAGTTTATATACACTATAGACGCCTATATACAAATCCTGTTGTTAATAAATTAAATACAGTAAATACCAATCGATAAACATAAAGTTAATCAATACCGAGGGATCTAAGAGGGAAAGCGACCAGCGTTTAATAGATAGAGCTTATATTAAATCTATCGAGGGTTTATTGATATATAAAGAGTATTTAGGAAGCGTTCTAGGTAGGATATTTTGATTTAGAGTAAAAATATAATATTTTCAGTCTCAGTAGAGGCGACTGGGTACAGGCACTATATTTATATTAAAATAGGTTATATGATCTTCCTCGAGCAGCCTGCCTCACATTAACTCAGACTCAAGTAAAAGACTCTCAAGTAACCGCTCACTGACCTGGACTAACAGTTCGCTCACCTCGGGCAAAATATTGGCATACTTGCCTTAAGCGGCTATGCATGAAGTGGTGATGTGCCATAATACGACCCAGAACGAACCCAGCGCGCCTTGAATCCTGGACGTAGCGCCCTATCCTTATATGGAAGGCTGCTCCCCACACCAAGAAATGGATTACTTATCCTGGGCTGGCTTAACAAGCCAGTGGACCATTATATATTTACCTTATATACTTCTGAAAATTGCCCTATTATTGCCTAATGGAATCCAGGAATAGACATAAGTGGTGGTTTGGGTTTGTGATCCTTGGGTTTGTGATCAGCAGGGAGAGATATACAAGTACTATATGAGGATGGATATGAAGTCGGGATGTGGCTGAAGAGCTAGAATATCTAATTTTTGAAATACCTATCCCTAACCCGAAGCCTCTATGTTCATCATCCCTGTGCTCCCCCGACGAATTGCCAATGGGCCATAGTTTAATATCGCCACTTACCTCCAGTTCCATACCCTCCTGGACAGCCTGGAGTACCATAGACACCACCTACAATCCACAAAACAGCTACAGGCTCTTAGTTAAATGATCCGTAAGGTAGTCCTGGTCTTACCTACAATCAACAAAGGCCCATATACCTAAGCCGCCGACTGTTAGGAGCTTGAATACAGCAAGAACCCAATGATGCGTATAAAATTGATCCACTCCGAAGGGACCAAGTATCAGGGCTAGGAGCATAGCGGTGCGTTCCTGGCGATAATACTGTTCACTTGTCGTTTGTTTGTTAAACCCGCCCCAGGAGCGCTTGGTTGTTATGGTAGGGGTAACAATAGCCCTGAATCCTCCACTATAAAAAATATAAAGGTAGAATATACCTAGCCAGAGAAAGAAAGTAAATGCTTAAAAGATATGAAATTATAATCAACCGACTGTTTGTATGCCTTGTATCACGAGACATATTGTCCAGAAGCAAATAATCATGCTGCTGGGAAGCTAGAGTAAGATTATGCTCTGGTTCGAAACAAGTGAACAGCCTCCTAAACGAATACTTTAGGGACGAAAATACGAGATGGACTTCTGAAGAGAGGCTATTATGAACGTGAATCTGGCTGTTAAATGTACTATGTACTTATTTAGAAATATAGGCTCCAGTTGCACAAGCCATATATTGGGACTGTATTTTTTAAACTAGAAATTGGGACTATATTCTTTGAAACAGAAATAGGGACCATATTCTTTGAGCTATAAATTAGGATCACATCCTTTTAACCATAAATTAGGACATATTCTCTGAACCAACCAAATACCGGGACTACCTTCCCCATATTTAATCCTCACTATAACCAATCCCAATGTTTAGGTTCATAATGAGCTCTGCTGAGTCCGTTTATGTCACAGTATTGCCAGAACATGGTGTAAGGAATCGATATTGTAGTAGCTTATCAATGAACAATGTAGTGTTAGATCAATTAGTGATATAGGTCAGATCTAAATACAAGACGTAGCGCAAAGAAATCAAAAAGAACAACAAGATCGGTCTGCCCTTGGCTCAGAGGAAATATCTAGTGTCACGTGCGGTGGCACGTGGTTTTGACACGATCACGTAGTTTCGTGACACATGGAAAGAACCCTATGTTCTTACACAGGAGACGCAACCCGCTTGCGGGTTGCCCAGAAGGAGCCTTGAGGAACGAAATTGAAGATGAAATTTGGGTGTGGAATATTATTTTTAACGGATGATTGGGAACTATATATATTGATACAACCTGAACGGGAAACCAGCTTTTTGGTGCTCTCCTCAGTCGACTACTAGCTATATTATGTTAATAGTATCAGGCTGAAACGTATATCAGATCCTCATAAAATATCTCCCTAAAACTCTAAAATGAGCCTATAGAAGGTAGTGATCTTAAGATAAACCTTCCCCCCCAAGAAGCTTATGATTATAAGATTTGTATTTAATCCCTTTGATGATAGCTAGAGTTGCAGAGGCTACAGACTATCACGAGCTATAAACATAGCGACACGCCTAGTTCAGTTCCAGTTCCTTTGCGATAAGGTAGCCGAGGGGCTCAAGTTTAATTATCCGGTTCCAGAGAGCCTAGTTACCCCCCTATCTAAAATCCGTTAAGAATCTTCATTTGCGGGCCGCTTTCGGCATGCAGTGCTGCCTTTTATGAAAGAGTATGAGGCCGCTTGTTGTACGGTATCCGATCCCTTCTGCGTTAGTTATGGGTTATCTATTACAACCGTTCTGTAGATACTAATGCCCTATCTTTATAAAGCGGGTGATCTTTATGTAGCGGTTATCGTTAATAGTGTGTGTGGGAAGGCTGAATGTGGATCTGAGATGCAGCAGGCTATCTAAGAAGAAATGTTTGAGGCTGGAGCAGGGTATAAGGCTGAGGTTGGAGGTATATATTGCGCGGTATATAGAATGCGGGAATAAATTCAAAAGTGCGGTTGGTGTAAGGCGGTATGATACTGTGGAAAAGATTATAATTGTTTCCCTTAGGATAGGATAACTTATTTCCGAGGTTTCCAATGGCTGACCTGACTTAGATCCTATATAGTAGTTGACGAGATACCTGCGCATATCGACCCGTTTCTGTACGAGCGGCTTAATAAATGGAAATTTAATGGTATATCTTCGGAATACTTTAATAATTTCAGAATAATAATGTAGGATCCTTCTAACATTTGTTTCATACAGGATTCGTCGTATCCGACTGGTATAGTACGCTTCATCTTTGGCACCTTGCTGGAGCTTTCTAATACCCCATAGGATTACAAGAGACCGTAACGGGCTATCGTGTCGCTAAGTCGCCGGCCGATACTATCCGACAGTAGCTCAACGTCGGCAGCGGAATATTCCTTTACGACTTTACTCCCGATGTCATTATAAGCGTAGGTATTAGCTGAAGAACCAGAAGATGACTTTTACTAACCAACTATAATAGTCAATAGTTGAATAAGTTAAGAATGGAGATTTAGATCTTTCCGTAGTCTAGAAGCGAGTCAGAAGAATTCTCGAAGTTAAATATAATCTAGGGCTGTTTTATAATCCCTATCTATCTGAGGATATTAACCCTCAGGTAATTACTCTCTCCTATATCCTACTAGCCCTTGAGGCAGCTCGATACTCAATTATACTCTTGGAGAACCGAAATAAGACCCTACCACTAAGGCTATCTAAGCAAAAAAAAAAAAAGATTACTATAGTTGGTCTATTCACGGATACCTTTAACTTTAGAACTTATACTAGCGTATAGGGAGCTAATCCGGCAGAGAATGTAAGTACTATTCGATAGGGACTTCTCGAGTATTTTATAAAGAGTATGAATTCAAGCTTCGATCTGGTCTCGGCTTGGGGAGCAAATACCTGGCAGTATAATGGACAGTACCCGATTCCCGGATATTTGCTGTTCTCTAATAGCTCTTCAGGAGGGCTTCTGGCTACATACTACTACGATACTGAGTTCCGATAAGAAGTATTCCAGGTTATCGAAAGGCCAAACCGTGATTAGGGACTGTATATACCCCTTGGACTCATATCTAATAGATTCAGCGTAGTATAGGAGGGCGACCTCGAGGTGCCGGTAAGCGGTGATATCAATAGATAGATTGGTAATACTGTTTCACGAAAGATAACTATACGGCTATATATTAACAGCAAGCTGATCGCGTCCGACGAGAGCGGAACTGGAACTATCCTACGAGAGATCATACCGTACAGATACACCGCCGAGAACAGTACCAAGCCTCCTCCTGGAGGGTCTGAATTTCTCTTTAAACCTAGCTCTAAGTATTATGTTCGAATCGAGTACCAAGTCCACCCCGATTGGTATAAATCAAGTACTGCTGGTATTTATTTAAGAGTCCAGCTCTTCTGGAATCTTATCGATCGAAAGGATAGTATTGGTCAGGTGAGTTACATAGTTCCTATCGTGATAATAGGCTAGATTATTTGCTCATACTTCTGTATTTCTAGGCAAAGAGGGTGGTATCTGATGCTGACTTGATTGTTCTTGCAGTCGGAGCTGCTTGGAACAGCGATAGTGAGAATAGCAATCATACTACCCTTGGCCTGTCGACTGGCCAGAGTAAGCAATAACTTATCACCTTGTATATAGACTGGTCCTGATTATATCTTCTAGAAAAACTTATACAAGCTATCTTTGTACTGGAGAAACCTGTCGTCCTCGTATTAGAGGGCGGCCGACCTTTCGCCATACTCGAGTTTTATACACAATCTGCTGCTGTTCTCAGCACTATGGGTCAAATGCTCGTCCCTTGTTATTCATTTAACCATGTTTCTGACTTGAGCTTTTTCGCATAATATAGGGTTTCCTAGGTTAAGCGGCTGGCTAAGCCATCGCAGATATACTCGTCGGCGAATTCAACCCCGGTGGCCGAGTAATAATAAGTGTTCCTTATGATGTTGGCTCTCTTCCTGCGTACTATAAGTAAGATAGTCACTTTCTCTGGGATAAGAGTACCTAGTACTAATTAATATATACTTACAGTCAGCGAACTACCAAACCTACGAGTCACATACCTTACTACCTGGATATCCCTAAACCTGTACTGGTATGGCTACGGCTTCCACTGCGCTTCTCTGTTCAAAATCCCATTCAATTGAGGCTGGAGGTCTCTTCTGCGGATTTTCAGTCTATTTCTGACCCTTGCTAGTATTCATTTGGATATGGCTTGTCATATACGACGTTTTCCCAGGACTTACAAAGTGCTAAGTCTAGTTTCAAAGACAGAAAAGAGGACAGAAAAAAGGATACTTTCTCACAAGGTGATACTATCGCCTTTTCTGTGTCTGTCCACAATACTGGCGCCGTTAAAGGAAGCCATGTTCCGCAGGTAAGTCATGAAATTCCAAAAAAACTAAACACCATTTCCCGTCCCTGTAGCTGCGAGTCTCTTACAGAGAAGTAGATCTACCTCCTAAGGCGCCAGGGATTATCCGTTACAACGCCCGACAAGCAGCTTGTCGCGTTTACTCGCCTCTATATCAATACAGGGGAGACTGCTACTGTGACGCTGGAATTGGATATTGACCGCTATCTTCCTGTCATTAATCGCTCGTATGAGCGCGTTTTGGAGATAGGACAGTATATATTTGCCCTGATGGACGATAGATCACTTGATACTCCGACAATTGCAGATATTACGCTGAGTGTTAAGTCCTCTCACAAATATGAGGAGTACTAGAAGGATACATCTTTAGAATTTCCCTGCCAGGAACCTGTAGTGTGAGTTGGCTGGATCTAGGGTATGCGTGGTAGGCCAGATGAGCACGGTACCCGGTGGGAGGGCCGGAATCGCTAAATCCTTTGTCTCTTGTGACTCTAACAGTATGCCTAGTGGCGGACCAAAATGGATGGTAACGTCGTCCGCAAGATGGTAGCCCGGGGATTTCGGATCGGGAATGATGTCCGCAGCGGTAAACTCGGCCCCATTCACAACCTTTAAGCCGGTGTATGTATTTTTGTTGACAACTACAGGCATCCTCTGGGCGTAGAAGAAGACCCTGGGGATCTTGCAGTTTGAGTTGTCACCTTGTTCGATAGTCTGGGTCACCTCCTGCTGGGATTGGCCCGATTGCGCCAGGCGTGGGTTGAGACGAAGACCGAGATATGTCTCCTGTGAAAGCGGGCCCAGTCTACCACCAGAGAATATCTGTTGTGCGGGCATATCCGCACCGTGGAATTTTGTCTAATGCTATCAAAGTTATTATGATCATGTTGCAGAGGTTATAAATAGTTAACGGGAACGCCAGTGAGAAATAGCAGCAGGTTTCAAAATATCCTGTAAAGCAACCTCATACAGGTGACTACTGCTGCTCTCATACCCACGATCCGCGCTCGAACTCCCTGCCTCACTTCTTGTCCTAACTTTCCTATGCTCACCTTCATGAGGGTGCAGCAGCACCAGGCTCGCTACTATTGCTATTCTAGATCTAATCCCTATCGAGGTTGTGTCGTTCATACGCAACTTTTCTTTTCATAACATCGATTATTTTTTTGGTGTCCTTCATACTCTATCTATCCAATATTTCCACAAAGGCGCCCGTATAGGGGTTTAATAGGTTAGAGCAGAAGCCCAAACCATGCTAAATAAAATTAATAAGTTACCCCAGGACAGCAAACTTAAGTTTTAATGTAAGAAAGTAAGTAGCCACTTTAATACCTACCTCCCAAATAAATAAACCTCAATATTTAATAGCGAGGAGCGCAATATTAATAATAATAATAAAGACATTAATAACATATAACTGCTATATAAAGATGCGTTTGCTTCCAAAAGATATATCCAGAACATCTAGGATCTTCTAGATATATATACTAGAGATAATAAACTCCTAAATACAAAAAAAAGATCATTTACATAATTTCAACAATATTAAAGGCAGAGATAAAATGACTTCTGATGATACCTGAGGTAAAATAGGACTCGAAGTAAATAGTCCATGAGATGGGATACTAGATAAGAGTGTTAATAATGATCATCACTAGTAGCACGAGGTATCATAGAAGAGACTAGAGGATGGGTAAATCACTTATATTCATAATCCCGACAAACCCGACACCGTGCATCTTACTATTGCTGAATGGCCTGACGTCGAAAGACCCATAAAACCTGCGATTGGCCAATCGAATGCTGCAAATTTCAGGGGAGGGCTTATTAACCCCGGCAATTCCAGATAGCTAGGTACACTGTAGCGCCACTTAGAAAATGCTCACTTGGCGGATATAGGGGATTAGGTGGTAAAGGCCGCGTCTGAGTGGCTGTGATACTGTGTTATGGGTCAGTGAGTCGTCAGCAGTGCAGTTACTGCGGGATCGATGACGGGAACCTCAAAGCTAATGCGCTGGCTAACGTCGCCTATATAGTAGATATAAAGATGCCTGGCTTCCCCAAACACCCCAAGTGAAAGGTCCATTCAATAACCAAACAACTAAAAGCTGCCTAAAAAACATATTAATCAATCCTCTGACACCAAACGACCCTTGCCATGACTTCTCCACTCCCCGTGAAGCTCCAAGGCGGCGCTCTCACCGAGCGTGAGGCCGTTGCTGACGCTCTCTACCGCGCGGTCCTCGCCTTTGACCACGCAGATGAAGACCTCCTCCGATCAGCTTTGACTGAGGACATCACTGTCACAACTGCCGGTCAAACTTCCAAAGGCCTCGCCGAGCTCAAAACTGCCGTCTTCGACCGCGTCTCTAAACTCATCACGACACACTTTCTCTCCAACATTCGTGTTAGCATTGAGGGAGACTCTACGGCCATAGCGACATGCTCGGCACTGGCTCAACATGTCCGTGCTGGTAAGGGCTTCGAGGCTAGCGAGAATAAACTTACCTCTGGCGGCTTGTATTATTGTGAGCTTGTCAATGGACCGCAAATATCACCTGGGTGGATGGTGACGCCACTGTCATGAGTGGGGAGTGAGCAAGTTACGTTCGGATTGACGTCGTTGGAATCTGGGTAGTGTCAATGGAGGTGATGATCTTGGTTGTCACCCTCTTATAGGTAATAAAGGGGATATTCATTCCATTGCCACTTCATTCGTGTGCCGGTGCGCTTCGTGCAAGGGAAAAGGAGCGAAAGAACCCCAAGTGAGGTGACGAAACTAAACATTAAATGTTGGTACGATATCGGTATCTGGATCTCATAGGCTTACCAAGGAGTAACGCGTTTCTTATCGATTGGACTATGAGGGCTGGTTGCACCCGCAAGCCTCTAATGACGTGGCTGTGGCTGTGCAGGTTACACTTTCTCGTAGCTATAGGGAAATCCTGCCATCAACCAATCAATAGGCGTCCCCGCTTTTCGGCTTAGCGCCCTTTATTGGTCTCGAATAGGGTGGGGTCTCCATAAATGAAGTAGCTCCCATCACTATCAGCATCGGCATCAGCATCGTTCCAACGGGTAAAACGAGCTGCAAAATAAGCACTTTCGCCCATCAGAGTGTTCTTTGTTGTATAGAACAGACGTTCTCCCACGCGAAGTGTGGCACGACCACTCTCAGCCTCAGCCATCCGCTGGTCTGGGAAGTAGCATATGAATAAACCAGAGTTAGAGGCGTTGAAAGATAAGACACAACTCAGCCACATCGTGAAAGGCCGGGCCATATATATAGTATAACAACTGGAATGGAAAACCTTAACGGGAGTTTTGCCAGGCTTATTGTTTACGGGGGCCTAGGGTTTCGCAGGAGTAGAGAAATGTACTGTAACAATTTTCTCTAACGAATGTCTAGATCATTGTGTGTTATACCGAAGAGGTGAAATCCGTGATACATACATGCTCTACACCGCTAGCTAGCTTAATGAAGTTGCCGGAATTTTCCCTTCCCTCCACCTAGTAGCTAAGGCTGATTATAATACACTATAAATATAGGACCTTTAGCTTTTCTTAGGGCTATTTATATATACTAGTTATCTCTAGATTCTTATTAACTTTAGACCTAGCTAGAACCTAGTAATAGTAGAGTTATACTTTTATTATTATTATATAGTTATAAGCTAATTATAACCTATAGTATAATATAGGGTTATATAGAGAACTAGTTAATTAAGTTTTTAGAATTTAATTAGTTATACTTATAACCTTTACTTTATAATTTAATATTATACTTTATAGTATTATTTATAGCTTTTAAAGCTAAAATAGAGATATTTAAGTACTAAAAAGTAAGCTTAATAACCTGATTATTATATTAAAATATTTATTAAATACTATAATTAATTACCTTAAACTTAATTTTATAGCATTTAAAACTCCCCTATATTATTATAGAAAGGCTTATAAGAAGTATAATAATATTATTATATAATATATAAAATACTTAATAAACTCTTAGCTTAATATTTAGAATTAAATTATATAGAAATATCTTTAAAGAGATATAAATAATTTTAAAGCTATATTAATTAAAGATAAATCTATTATTAATATAGCTTTAGTAAATATAAATATATAAATACTTATAAATAAATGAAGGTTAAAGGTTTTAAGATAATAAATTAATATAGTAATAGTATTTAATCTTATTAATATTATTAATTTATACCCTCTTAAGGTATTTATAAACTTATAAATATTACCTTTTATAAACTTTATTTTTACTTAATCTTAAAAATTAGCTTATAATTTCTTATTAAATATACTTATTATAGCTTTAAAATTATAATAAAGTAAGCTATATTAATTAATAAGTCCTTCTAAAAGGGATATAATTAATAACTTAAGATTATAAACTATAATAAAAGCTTTTAGGACTTTAATTAAGTTATTAAGTTTACTTTATAATCTTTATAATATCTTATTATATTCTATATACCTCTTAATAACTATATTAAGAGATTTTATTAACTAAATAGTAATTATAATTAATATAATAATTAAGGTAGTAATACTTAGTAGGTTAATTATATTAAGTAAGATTAAGATAAAGCTAATATAAAGTATAAGTAAAAGGGGGTATTAAATCTTATTATTATACTATATATAATAAAAGATTTATATATAGATTATTTATTTAATTATTAATTAATTATTAATTATTAAATAGCTTAAGCTATATTAAGCTAATAACTTATTATTATTATATAAGCTTATTAAGAGTAATATATTTTATTAAAAAGTTACTAAAATAATACTCTTAAATAAAAAGATAATTTTATATTTTTAGGTCCTTAAGTTATTATAGCTATTATATTTAAATAAGAAATTTAATTAGTAAATAAAGTATTAAGCTATATAATATATAATAAAACTAGTAAAGCTTTAATTATATTTATTAATATCTAAATATTATCCTTAAAGTCTAAAGTAATAAGATATTTCTTAATATTAAAATATTTAATTTTATTAATTACTTAAACTTTAATAAAGTATATACTAATTTTATAATATACTTAGTATTATCCTTAGAGTACTTAACTTATAATATAAATCGCCTCGCGGCTAGGCAAAAAGGCTGAAGTTTAATGTATTATGATGCTAGGTATAGTGTCAAGTTGTTTAATTCTTAGTGTTTAGGAATTTCCCTTTTTTTTTCAGCATCTGCTGTATAACTATATAGCTCTCTCACTTACTTATAATATAAATCTAAGTACAAGCCTCATAACCTTTTAACTATAATCTCTTATTTTCTATTTATTATTATAAAGTAGCTATTAGAGAATATCTAATAACTAAGTTAATTAATATAACCTTAGGTATTATAACTTTAGTTACCTTTACCTTTAAGTTTATTAATAAACTATATATTAAAATTTAGTCTTTTTACTCTTAATTAAGTTAAATTTATAAGCTATTAATAGAACTATTTAACTTAAATTTTGCCTTACAAAACCCTTTCTAAAATTAATAATCTTAGCCTTAATATAGATCTTAATACCTTAAGATTTATAATAAAGTAATATATATAAGCTTATAATTATATTAAAATAAAGCTTTTTACTTATTATTTTTAATTTAGCCTTAATTATATAAGCTTTTATAATTAATTTAAATTAAAATATAATAATAATAATAATATTATAAGCTTTTAATAATAATATATTAAATATAAGTTTATTATCATTATTATACTTAGCTTTATAAATCTATAAATATTTAGCTTTATTAATTAATTAATTTTACTAATTAATATTACTTAATTTTTTTTTTATATATTTACTATTAGTATTAAAGTTATTTAAATCTATGAAGATTTAATTATAACCTTAACTATTAATTTAGAGGTTTACTTTAAAGATATTTTATAGAAACTTAAAGCTCTCTCTTTATATATTATTACTAACTCCTTCCTAAATATAGTTATTTATTACTATATAGAGAAAGAATAACTAAGTATAAAGAAAGGTTTTTAATTTTATATTATTCTTTTAAAGTAAATTGAATTAATTAAATTAATTTTTAAAATAATTAAGATTTTAACTTAATCTTAAAGATACTATTTAATAAGAGGTTTTAAGGTTATATATATTATATATACTTTATATTAATTTACTTTAAGGAATATTAAAAAAGTATTATTAAGTAATTAAGTAATAGCTTTAATATAGTATTAATAAAAAAGTAAGCTTTATTTAATAAGCTTTAAAATAAAGCTAAAATACTATAATACTACTTAGTATTTTACTTAAATATTAATATTTATATAATATTATAAATTAATAATATTAAAAATTATATAAAAAGTAATAATACTATTTAGTAATTACTATAGTTTAAGTTTTATATTTATAAAAACTCTAGCTTTTAAGCTTCTACTAAATTTAATAAAATAATAAATATATTATACTTATTATTATAATATAAGTAAAATATAGTAATTAAACTTACCTTATTTTACTTAATTATAATAAATTATAAAGCTATAGTTATAGCCTCCTAGCTTATATTTAAAAGTATAACTATAGAGATTTATTTAAAATAAACTTTATAAACTATATTACTCTTATACTAAAAATTAAACTATTTATTTTTACTTATTTATTAATTATAAAAATAATAATTTAATATTTATTTATATTTATAATTATATTCTTAATTATATAATTTATATTAAATAATATAAATAAAGTTAAATTACTATAGTTTACTTTAGTAAGTATAATAAAATATCAATTATCTTTTATAGAGTATAAGCTGATTATTAATTAGATTAATTTATTACTTAAGTAAAGTTTAAAATCTTTAAGTAAAATATATTAAATACTTTAATAAAGCCTAAAGTTTATTATTAATCTACTTATATTATTTAAGTATTTAAGGCTTAAGAGATTAAATTATTTTTTAATTATTTATTATAAATAGTACTTAGTACTTAAATAATTACTATAATAGTAATTCTATTTACTTTAAAGTATTATATAATACTTAATTATATAATTAAGAGATATAACTCTATAATATTTACTTCATTAATTAAAGGTTTTAAGTAAAAGTATAATTAAGTAGAAGGATAAATATATTAAATAACTTAATTTACTTAATTAATTAAAACTCTATTTATAATTAATAATATATTATTTATAAGGGCTATATTAGTAATATAGTAATAATAATTTATAAAATATATATATATATAAATAGCTTAAATAATTTCTTAAATATTTTACTAAAGAGGAGCTTAATTTATAATAAGAGATAAAGCTATTAATATAAAGGCTTTTAATTAATTAACTATAAAATAGATAATATTAAACTAAGGGATATAATATTATTACTTTAATATATATAAACTAGTTAATAGTATTAATTAGGTTTTCTAGAAATAGCTTTTATTAATATATAAATAGTATATAATTAGTTTTACTTTTAATAATTAATATTAATATATTATATATATAGGTTCTATAAAGTTATTTATTATAACTTTAAAGAAAGTTATATATCTTTATTTATAGGGATTTTATATAATTT